GGTGAAGGTCAAGGTTGGCATGAAGGGCAACTTAAGGGGGCCTGCTGAAGGGGAGGGGCAGTACCCTGCCGTGTCCATCCTGCTCTGCTCTGACAAGTAGGAGCAGAGCTTGTGGTTTGGTGTCGTGAATGTGAGGCTCTCGGCCGCAGACACGCGCAGCCTCAGATCTTTTCTCCTCCAGAGACTACTGGGATTCACAAATAAATCTGAGATCTTTGATGATCCAAAACTGGAATGGGCCTTGTAGATGAAACTAATTACAGAGGATTCAGTGTAAGTAATGGAAAACCCAACTCAAGCTGGCTTAATTAATAAAGAGGATTTATTGGTTCATATCAACGGAAATAGTTTAGCTTCATGGGTGTGTGATTCAGTGGGTTACAAATGCCACTGAGGACCTAGTTTCTTCTTGCCTCTCCTTTTTGCCTTCCATGTGTCATTCTCAGGCTGACTCGCCTTCGTGGTGGCGAGATGGCAGCCAACAGTCCCTAGAACATGGTGCTTGCACACCAGTGGCCAGGGAGGGAGAGAAGCCTTGTTCTTGCAAGTTTTACCCCAACAGTGAGAAAGCTTATTTCCTCTTTTCTCTACTTAAGTATGCTTGGCCCAAGATGAGTCATAAGCTTATTCACCAAATGATAACATATCCAATGAATACTACTCGGCTGATTAATTTAGAGCTAAACCTCATGCCCTTCTCCAAAGCCCAGGGTGGAGTCAGCTTGTGCCAGAGCACATTAACTGCATAGGAGACTGGGAAGGTGGGCAGGTGGGGAGACGAGAGCAAAAATTGGGGTGATTACCCAGAGAGGAAGGAGTGAAAGCTGAGGAAGCTACCATGATATGCGCTCCAAGATCCTGTCTCTGTTCTCAGCGCTGGCGTCAGAACCTACCAGGATACATAAATGTGTGATGTTATCAAAACTTTAACATCAAGAACGGGGGGGGGGGGGGACAAGCTACCCAAAAGGCATTCAAATTCATAATTAAGAAAAAAATGCTGGCCAAGCCAAACCTGCATGTGCAGGCCATTTAACAGATGGGGAGACCAAGAAACAACAAGGGGAAATAATTGCCTAATCATAGTAGTGCCGTACACTGAGCTGGGGTGTGCATCTGCTAATGCATTGTACAGAAGAAGAACGTGACACCCCAGGAGGTCATCTAATTTGCCCAGAGCCACACAGCTAATGAGTGACAGTCCCAGGGCTGTGCAACTCCCGTGCCACTCTCCTCTCCCAATGCCAGAGGGGTGAAACGGGGGCAGGAGCAGGAAGAAAAACCCCAAGCAAGCAGCAAAGAGCGCTCTTCCACTGTGTGTCAGTAAGAAGTTGTAGGAGACCATCTCCGAGCATATTCTGTGGGAGATGGAGCCAAAGAAACAGAAAGGGAAAAAGACTTCGTGAAGCAAATTCTGTAAGTGATAAATCAAGTTGTCAGTGAATCTTGGGCAGGGGAGGGGGAGAACCATCTGCAGTAGGGAGAGCCTCCCAGGAAGGGCAGGGTGGATCCTGCCTGGCTGGGCGAATGCTGGTGGCTTCCGGCATCCTGGCGGGCAGAGCTGCAGTTCATAAACTCCTTTTCTAGAAGCTGTCAGATTTGGGAGAGGTGGTGCAGGAAATGTGGGTCTTCGACCTGGCAGCACGCTCCTCGGCGACATTCAGCCCTCCCAGAGAGGCAAGTCTGGGCTTGCACCCGGCCCTCCCTACCGTGCAGTCGGGCAGGAACCTCCTGCCATCTGCCGACTTGCCAGAAGGTCGGGCCTCATGGAGGCATCAGGAGACGGCACTGCGAAGGAAGCGAAAGGGCCTGCGTGTTTCTAAGCCGGTGTTTGCTCCTTCTCCTGGCTGCCTGCTTCATTTTCGTGCCCTCGGCCCTCCAGGCACCGCCACTCTCCGTGGCCTTCCCAGGTGAGCCGGCTGCTGAGCTGCTGGACCCCACAGGTCAGCCGCAGCCGGCCTCGGGACCACGGCGCTGCATCCTAAAGCATAAAACGTGTGCTAGGAAGAGCTGGCTGGACTGAGGAGGATTTCCAAACGCATATTAATCATAACAGAATGACTTGGTTGAACGTTTTAAAAAGACTGAGTCCTGGGTCTTGCCCTGGGACATATTGATGCAATATGTCCGGGGTGGGGACACATAGCTGCTTTTAAAAATCTGTGGCTAGATGATGTGGGCCAGGTTGGGGGCCAGTGGGCTGGAGGTTTCCCAAGGCCCCCTCCCAGCTCCTGGGTTCCCATGTGGAAGCCTGTCGTGAGCCGTGTGAGAAGTGCTACGGTAATGTGTTGGTGCTCTGTACATTTCTTTTGCTGAATGCATGAATAAATACTTCCATAAGTCACATATATTAAATAACCTCAGTAATCTGAAAGTATGAAGTGTCAAGGGAGTAGGAAGCTCCCTGAGTAGCTAAAAATCGTTGTCATGTGTCAGTCAGTGAAATTAAAGTCAGGCCCTGGAAAGTCGCGAATGGGGGCCCCTGGGTTCTGTACACAGAACTTAGCTAAACCCATTTCAGTAGAGACCTAGCAAGCCTGGTGTTCTAGTCTCCAAGTTCACAGCCCACTGGAGTAGAAATTCAAAGGGCATGGGAGTTGTTGAATAAGACCCCAGTACCCTAATTGCTTAATGGGTTTGGGGTTTCCCTTTGAGGTGTTGAAAATATTTTGGAACTACATAGAGGTGGCAGTTATACAACTTTGTGAATACACTCAGTGCCCCTGAATACTTCACTTTAAAATGGTTAACTTTATTTTATGTGACTTTCACTCAGGAAAAAAAAAGGCAGCTAAATACTAAAAAACAAAAAACTAATACAAAATAGGACTTTTAGATTTGTAATAAGTAAAAGCTGACAGCTTGATGGGAAATAAAAGAACAAAATAAAACTCTAAAGTTTGCCCAGAACTAAAGTAGCTAAGAAGTCTAGGGCCGTTTAGTGGAAGGGCAGATAATTCAACCACTTCAGTAGGTCCTGAAGCTGTCATTATTATAGGGAGTTCAAAAAAAACCATGTATTATACGGCTCTGCTCGACCCTGCTTAGGAAGTCAGGAGTATCCTTTTAAAAAAAGTCCTGTGCAAAATCTATCAAGTGAAAGATAGATTTTTATTGGGGGGGGGAGAAGCTTTTGGAGCCTGTCATCTAGTTATCTGGAAAATGACTTTAACTGGAATAGTTCATTCACTAATAAGGCTGCTTAAATGAAGCAAGAACCTACAAGGCCCGTTCCCATAGACATTACACTAAAATCCCTACACTCACTGCAGGAAGAGAGTATTGAGGAATCACTGCTCCGTGGTTATGAGTTTCTGTTTGGGGCGTTGAAAAAGTTCTAGAACTAGATAGTGCTGACCAGTGCACAAGATTGGGAATATAATTAGTGCCCCTGGATCATACATGTAAAAATGGTTACAATGGCAAAATATTGTTGTATTTATTATATCACAATAAAACATGTAAAAACATAATTTTAAAAACCCCATAATATGAGCCTGCCCGAAAAGCCTAAAGAAGGTCATTGTGATCCTGCCAATCAGATAGAAAGCAAACCTAGAGGTAAGGTAGGTACTAAGCAATATGTGAAGAACACAAGGGGAAAGACGATTTATTAAATTTATTAGGATCCTCTGAAGCCATCTGTGCGCTGTTTGACCCTCCTGTGAGGAGCATCTGCTTTTATTCATTAGGAATGAGCAGATATAGAAGTCATTACTCAATGTTCATCTCGCAGCTGGGTTTTGAATTGAAAGGCAGTTCATATCCAACAACGTTGGCATCCAGTGTTTAAAGGTCTTTGTGTGAAAAGGTTGCATCGAGACTTGGAAAGTATTTCCATCTAGTAATGGCTTCAGTGGAACATCAGAGATATCTAGGAAGGCAAGCCTCCCCAGGTTGATGATTGGAGCAACATACGTATTTGGTTTTACTCTGGGGCCCTTAATTTGTGGGTCTCTGCCTACCCAGGAATTTTTATTAATTTCAGTGGAATATGGTGTTGCCGTGGGGAAATGGCTTATTTCCTCTAAGTGCCAAGGCATTCATGGGAAATAAAAATCAAATCAGAGCTAAAGCTTTAAATGTCATTTTAACAGAACCCTTCGATTTTACAGTGAGCATCCCCTTTCTGGGGCTCTGTTGACAGATGTATCGGTCAGGGTAACTTGACCGTGCTGCGGTAATAAATTAGCCCCAGAATCTCAGTGGCTCAGCGCTATAAAGGTTTATTTCCCGCTCATGAAAATTCCACTGTGGGTCAGGAGCCTCTCCAGGGTTCCAGAGGACTCCGCAGGGTAATGTGATGACTTCCCACTCCAAATTACTTTAGTCTTGAGCACTGACCATTCCAACCCACGGATTCCAGGAGGTCAAAGCAGGGGAAGAAAACCAAGGGTCACATGTCAGTTTTTAAAGGCTTTGGCCCCAAAGTATCCCATGGGGCATTGGTCAGAAGTAGTCACACAGCACTGGGCTACCCACAAGGGGGCTGGGAAATGTCAGGGACGCTCGCGGAGCCGTCAATGTCTCCTCACAGCCGAGATGTGTGCTGGAACCCATCCAAAGCCCGGTCATTTGAGCCAGATTGGTCACGGAGGGCAACAGGCAGTTTTTTTTTCATATATTTTAAATAATATCTTGTACCACCATTGGTTGATAATAGGCCTAGAAGACAGAGGCCTGAGAAAAGTAGAGAAAGCATTACTAGTGGGATTAAAATTACCATTAAGAAAGGGTACAGCCAGTTAATAGCCAGACGAAGTGATGTCTGATCCCTGCTCTGCCTGATGTCTGGTGGACAGCCATTCATTCCCCTGAGCATCCTAACGATCAGGTGGCCAGTGAGACCGGGCGCACTCCACAAGCAGGGAATCGATCAGGTTACAGTTTATGTGAGGAGCATCTGGGCTTCTGCAGAAATCTCATGAATCTTCCCAATTGGCATTGTGCTCTTGAATGCATTTCTCTTAATCCTCGTTTGTCCTCTCCCCTTTGTAGGAATGAAGTTTTTGGAGGACTGCCCCATACACCTCCTCATTCATCTCTGTTTGCTAGTGGGTGGGATCATTGGAGCCTTAAAGGTGAAGTATATTTATCCGTTGTTTGTAGTTCTTACAGAAATGTAACTTACGGGCACCGTGGTATGCATCCTTTAATTGTTTGCTGCTCACAGAGGAGCCAGAACACCCCCCCCCGCCGCAACCTGCCCCCAAAGCCCAGGGTTGTGGAAACAAGAGAGCAAGGTGGGTCCTGGAGTCTGTTTGCAGAGACATGGATTTTTCCAGATGAGGAGCGTTCACCCAGAGCTGGGCATCTTAGCAATAGCTTTCCTCCTGCTGCCCTGAGTTCAGTGTGCTGAGCGGCTTTGGTCGGACAGCAGTTGACAAAGAGGAGTCACTGACTGCCAATTATTTTTACCTTGAATCCAGCCAGTCTAATCTTGGCCTTTCTCTGTGCTTCTTTTTAAAAAGTTTCCTGTGAAGGGCAGTGGAGTTTGCAGCTAGTTCAAATGTATTTAATCTGAGCAGCTCTTATTTCTGTTTTTCTCCTCATTCTTAGTTGATTAGCACCGAATCCGTTAGCTGCAGTCATCAATCAAACATTAAACTTGGATGTTCAGGGTAGGAGTGCTTCTCTGTGATTCTCAGCTTATGTCAGTGTAGGGAGCCGATTTGCTCATGGGTTGTATTGACATCTGTTTTCACAGGAAAAGTGACAGAAGAAAAGATATGGAGGGGCCTGCGTAGTCTGCAGTTAGTTTCCAAACCCCTGGCCCACAGAAATGTCCCACCTGCCCAAAGCACCTCAGGCCTAAGGTATGTTAGGTCTGCCTGCATTTATCAGCGACCCTTCCCAACGGTCCACGCCCGGCTCAGAGCTTCCTGTATCCAAAGCTAGAACACACAAGCATCCATTTTTCCAACATGGTTTCATAAAAATGAAGCGCAAGACGGGGCACCTGATGGCTCCGTTGGTTAAGCGAGTGCCTTCAGCTCAGGTCATGATCCTGGAGCCCCGGGATCGAGTCCCGCATCAGGCCCCCTACTCAGCGGGGAGCCTGCTTCTCCCTCTGACCCTCCCCCTCTCATGCTCTCTCGCTCTGTCTCATTCTTTCTCTCTCAAATAAATGAATAAAATCTTTTTAAAAAATGAAGCACAAGAGAAAACAATCAAGAATACCATGTATAAAATTTCATTGGGACCCACTGTCGGATTTCTTTGCCGGCTTCCTTCTGGAGCTTGGGGCCTTCAGGAGATGCTGGCTGGTGGCATTGGTCAGGGTACTGATAGGACATCAAAGGAATGTCTTCAAGATTGCTGCTCTCATTTGCAGCCAGAAGTCACTGGCTCAAATCATGGGAAACGTGTCTGATTTGGGGCAAGTGCTCGGAGCCTTTTGTGCCCGAGTTACTTCACTAGTAAATGCCCGCAGGTCCCGAAAGCAGTCTGGGGGGGTCAATGTTCTGGAATGTGCAGTAACATGTGGTCCGTCCCCCCCCCCCCCCCCCGCGTAACAACATCCCTACGGGATCTGCCTGGGACTCTGTTTAGCTCCAGGGAAACCCAGAGGCTCTCTGCTCAGTGGGGCTGCCTATCCCCTGTGGCCCCGTGGTGTTAGGGCAAAGCTCTGATGGATTGAGCACCATAGAGATGTACCAAACAAGGGCAAAGTTTTCAGCAATTACCTCCGCTCAGCCCTCTCTCACTTGACTAGCTCATCATCAGGCTGTGAACTGGAACTTTCCTGTGGAGATGTTACCGTCCACGGGGCCTGTTCCTCTCTTAACAACGGCAAACTTTTCCTTTATGAAATCCAGCCCAGAACCCAAAGGTAATTTATTTTAATGAACAAACTAGGGCCCTAATAAACAGCATTGATTTTTCCCCCCTGGCAATCTAAATCTGCTTGAAGTCAAATTAAATTTTTGTGCGCATCATGGCGAGGTACTACACAGTGAGTCCATAACCGTTAGCCCAACAGCAGGCAGATTTATAGAATCCCCAGACAGAGAAGTTTGAGGGTGAGGCCAGTGCTTTGTATTTAACCCTCTCGGGACACTGCATCGCGATGCCCAGTGACCTCTCTGAAATGCATCAGATCCACCACAGTGTTACATTTTATTGAAGAGAAAGCTGAGTGGACTTTTCCCAGAGTCACCAAAAAGAACTGAGAGTCACAACCCCCTGGAAAGATCAGAAAGTGAATTTAGTAGGTTGTAACCGTTAAAAAAAAAAAAAAAAAACAGAATAGAAACTCTCAGAGCACCCAGTAAGTACTGTGTGGCACACATGTACACATGTGTGTTTGGGTTCGTTGGCCACATAGTTTATCATCCAACCTGGGACGCTTTTTCCAGTACAAGCTCTAATAACAGTCCTAAGCTCTAATAACAGTCAGGAAAACAGCACAAACCACGACTTCTCTGAGCCAGCAAAGGACATACAGTCCCCCAACTACTAGGTTGTGATGTAAAATGTATTTGTTACTGAGGGTCACGATAAAAAGAAAGGTTCAGAAACACTGATTTAGTGGCCATTTCCCTACCTAACCCTCCACTTCATCTTCCAATAGTCCACTGCTCAGTAAGAATTTCTAGCACCCGGTGAGCACTTACCATGTACCACGTGCAGTGTTAAGGGCTCTGCCCCTGGTCCTTACAAGACCCTTTGGAGGCAGGTACTTGTATCAGAAGGATTTTTGAATACAAGGAATAAGAACTGCCCACAAAGCAGTCCAGGGAGGGTAGCCAGATCCATGGGCCTTGGGCCTCTTGCTGCTCCCTCCCCCTAGCATGCTGAGAGTGTGGGGGAGGTGCCTCTAGGGAGCGCAGATGCTGGGATTTTCTCTCCTGTACACCTGTGATGGGTGAGGGACACCCACGGGATCGGGCCCTGCTAGGAAGGAAAATGGGCGCTGAGTAACTGAAAGCCGGACTGTACCATCAGCTCCAGCTTACAGATGACGAGACTGAGGCTTACAGGTTGCTTCTCTTGAGTTTATGGCAGAGCAGGTGTGCCATCCACTCCTGCCCGAACTCACAGTTCCCCTCAGCAGCCCTTCTCCATCAAACTGTTTCTCTCCTGTTCCCCAAACCCATCACCCTTCACCCTCACCACACCACTTCTGCTCCAAGGAGGTCCCTCCCACATTTCCCTGCTCACAGGGATCCAGAGCAGACTTCCTTCTTCCAGGAAGTCCTCCTTGGGTGAGCCGGCTCTGTGCAGGTGGCTCTCTGCACCTCTCTGAGCCTTCACTCTCCTTTTCTTATGGAAATAATCTGCCTCCCAACCAGGCTCTAAGTCATACTTCTAGAAAACCTGGGCAGGGTTGGACCAAACGGGAGCACTTTCCCAGCAAAGAGCCCCTCCTACTGAACATTCTCTGATTTAGACATCTGGGGAATGTGGTGTAGACAATAGCCACAAGTGTGGACCGACACCCATCTCATCCTTTTTACCCACTGTGGACCTGGCTTGAAGGGAAGAAATGACTTACCTTCTCTGCTCCTTGGTGCCCTCATCCATGGAGCAGAGACGATAATAAGCAGCTCCATGGTTGGTGTGAGCATTAACTGAGATCATACAGGCCAAGCAGCAGACCAACAACTTTACTTAGGCTGTGCTGTCTTTTCATAAGTAATAACTCTTCATGGTAGAAAATAAGAGAATAGGAGAAGCACAAAGAAGAAAATCAAAATCACCTGTAAATTCCACCACCCAGAGAAAATCACTGCCGATATTTTGGCCCAATGGCTCCAGCTGTGGTGCCCCCAGGTACCCATTTATTTAATGCAGTTCACCTCAGTTCTCTGGGAGCGTTAATCGAGAAGGTGCACGTTGGGCACTCACTCCGGCACGGGGACCTCCCTCTGTACAAGGCCCATTGCCAGAGACACTGTCACCATTGCACACAGAGCCCCCAGGTAAGTCTGTCTCACCTGTCACTCTTCACCCCCAGGCTCTGATCCCACCATCCTGCAGGTCCCCACCACTTACATTTGCATCTGGAATTTTAAATGTGACCCGTCCAAATCTGAAATCATTATCCACCTAAAGGCACAGCTTTGGGCTCCTCTGTCCTCTGTCTCTCTTGATATGATCACCCACTCCACTGCCCTGGCATGGAACCTTGTTTGCTCCATCTCTTGGCTTCGTGCTGCCCCCTCGCCAATCTGCCACACTGTCGGTTATTGGAGGATTTTTTCTGAAGCCCAGTTCTCCATGGGTTAGGGGTGCCATGAGGTTGGCCTTAGAAGAGGCGGGGAGCCTGGGACTCTGGAAAAGAATGGATGAGCGGCACAGGTCTACAGAAGACATCATAGATCAGGTTGCTAGACACAGGGAAGATAGGGAACCAGGCTTCCTTAGCAAAGATGACTTGTGGTCTTCTGTGGGTGCATCTTTAGAGGAAGCATCTGGAACCGAAACACGTGAGTGCCGTCAGAGCTGGGTGGGATGGTGGTCCTTTGTGAAATAAAATGCGAGCAGCATTTCAAAGGGGAGCCAGGAACTACCCACTAGGGGCGAGATAGTCTTTGTCCCTCTACGAGGAATTAGCAAGGCTAATGCTCAAAGGACAAGGGTGTGTGCTCTTGACTGGATGGATTCGTAAGGACAGGAGGGACACACTCATGCTCCATGGCCCTGCCTGGAATTGCAGATCCCTGGAGATGGTGAGTGGTGGAAGTCCCCAACACAAGTAATTATCTGTTTATGAGCCTCTTGCTGAAGAACTGGGGCTCCAGGAAAATAAGGACTAAAATTGACCTTTGGAGGCATGGAGGCGTGGTCCCATGGCATCTGGAACTGACCAGGCCTGCCAAGTGGCCTGGAGGTAGCAGGCAAGTCTGCTGGGGGCTCCTTATAGGGCAGAGGGTCCAGCATCAGGACCAGGCATCCATGTTACAAAGTCATGTGTGGTGGAAGTGTGCTAATGATAAGGAAAATCTGTGTCCTAAGATGGGCGACTGAGCCAACGAGAGAGTCCCAGTCCTTGCCCCAGGGCTCTTCCGGGTTCTTCTCCCTGCCCCGCTTCACACACGCGCCAAAAGTGCGAAGTGTGCGGAAGTAGAAGTGTATAAATTGCCCCCTTTGTTTGTGCTCAGGGCTCAGATCTTTGGAGATCGCTCTCCTCTGAGCCCACCGGCGTTAAATAAACCTCCTATCCTCCAAGATCTCCAGGTGCTGCTTGGTTCTTCTGTCGGGCGATCTAGTCCAGGTTCTGTAACACTAGGATGGGAGAAGGGAAAGTCTGTCCACAGACACAATGAATTGAGGGTGAGGACAGTGATGGACAGACACAATGAACTGGGGGTGAGAAGACTGTGGGACCCCAGAGCAGAGCAAAGGGCAGCCCTGAGGCACGAGCCATGGGTTGTGACTGAGGAAAGTTGTGAGCAAGAGGGAAGGTACACCAACAGGGCTGGACCCTGCCCTTCGTTCCAGTGTGGAAGGAATTACTGGAGGTACACCCAGCATGGCAGCTTTCCTTGGCCAGGTGAGGAGCAAGGAGCCTCCTGGGTTTCTAGCTTGGGCAGTGTCACCAAATGAGGGGAATATGGCAAGTAACAAATTCTGTTGTTAACATACTGAGCTGAGGGCCTGAGGATACTCAGTGGAGCTTCACATGCGTCTGAAGTCTGGGCGAAAGTTCTGGAAGGGAGCTGCAGACTTGGGTTCCATCAGCCTATATGCAGGTGAAGTCGGGGCCTGGGACACATTTGAGGGTCACCAAAGAGGGAAGCTACTGGAAGACGCAGAGACGCAGAGTGGCTTGGGGGAAGGATGCCAGCCCAGCATTGGTTGAAGACAGAGCTGGTGATCTACTCTAGCTCTTCCACTTTTCATGCACGTGACCTTGGCCAAGATCCTTAAACTTCCTGGTCTTTAACTTCTTTGTTTCTAAAGTGAGAACAGTAATGTGCGTTCCATAGGGTTGTTTTAAATAAGACAACATGCCTAAAAGCACTTAGCGTCTGCATTACTGAGCTCAGGCTGCCGGGACAAGATGCCACAGACCCAGTGGCTTAAACAACAGGTGGGGAGGAGGGCGCTTCCAGCTGATGACCCCAGGCAGGTTTGTGGCCATGGGAGGAGGGGGAGAAGCAGGTCACTGGAGCCAGGAAGGCCAAGGATGACCTCAAGCCTGATGAAGCAAACCAGAGCAACAGCAAAACTCTGGGTGCAGAGATGAATTTCAGTCGACGAATCCCTTCTCCAAAGCAGCTCACACATCTCAAAGGCAAATGCTACCAGGGATGCTGACTCAGGATTGATGCCTTCATTCTTGCCAGTTCTCATTCTTCAAAAGTAAATTTCACTCCTTGGCGGCATTTCGAACTCCAGTGTGCACACTTTTCATAATAAATAAATCTCTCTGTTTCTCCCCTACCTTCTCCCCCGCCCCCCTACTTTGCTGCTCTGCCCTCTGACCCCTTCACTTCCTACCACAACCCAGGGGTCTCTCCTGCTGTACGACTCCACGAGGATGAGGCAGCTTCTGTCCAAGGCCATGGTGATCGACAATGACAACGATGATGAATATCCCTGGAGGCAGAATGCACACAAGTATTATAGACACCTCAGCCTCAGCCTCTTCCTCTGCCTCTGTTTCATTCTGGGAAACCACTGGGTCTTTTCCGTTTACCTGCCTGATTTTATTCCCCCTTTCCAGCAGCCTCAGGATTACTGGGACAAAACCCTGTACCTCTTTGCAGTAGGGGTCCTCGTGCTCAGCCACACCGTGCTGGGCCTACTGGTCCTATGCAGCGGTTGTGTCTACGTGTGGTCCAGGTGAAGATTTGTTGTCGATGAAGACTGAGAACCACCCACTCTGGCACACACATGCACACATACACACACACACACATTCACACACTCACACACACACATGCCCATGCATGCACATGGGTGTATATACAAATACACACACAGACACACTCACACATGCATGCACAGTTGCAAGGGAAGGGCATGCTGGAAAGGTAATAAATCTTTCCCTACAGGCATTTAACAAACCACCAAGATGCGCTGCATATTCTAGAAGACTAAAGAAACTCTTGCCTCCCTGGGCCTGGGGAAAACACCGTGGCTCTTTTCAGAGTGGGACTTTTGTACTCATAAGTTCGCGGAGGGATTTTTTTATTTGAGGGGATGAAAGTAAGGTGAGGCCAAGAATGGGACACTTTTGAATCCCACGCGGTTCCAGGGACTGTCACAAGTTCAAGGTTTGTTGCTGTTACTGTTGCTACTGCTGTGTTGTCATTCAGCCACCAGCAACCTGAGGTTATAGAAAGGTATGTCTTTCAAACAAGACCATCCTAGCTTCACTTTGGTGGCTTTGTTATGAAAAGGAGAAAGGTGCTTTTGTTTAATGACCCCAGGTGTCTTTTGGGAAAGGTAAGGAGCTCTCTTTCCCAACCCCTAATCAGATGGGTTTGATCTGACAGGTAAGGGCATCCCAAGGACAGCTATCAAGGCTGCCAAGGTCAAGGGAGTCAGTCCCCCTCAGGGCTCCGGTCTGGCGGGTGGGCCAGGCATCACAGAAAGCAGCACGTCCTCACCGCGTGCCTTGGATGGCGCTACCGCGAATTCTTGGCTTGGCCTGCATCCGCTTCTCTCCCTCGTTGTCTGTGCACATCTCTGTGAGTTGATCGCATAAATCAGCTTTGTGTAGGCTTTGGCCAGGCTGCATGTGGTATGGTTAATGTAGGTGTTTGTTTGGTCTCTGAGTTTAAATACTCTACAGAAGCAAATCTACTTAGCGTCAGGTTAGGGTTGGGAAGCCTTTGGCAAATCTATTTGTCTGGCAGTTCAGGATGACACCAAAGAGCAAACACTGACATCCCCTCTTGCTGCTGTTGTTATGAGTGAAGTTCCTGGGAGCTGTGGTGCCATGTTGGTGTGTGGAGCGGAGCATTGAGGCTTTAGAGTTTTATTTTTTTTTTTTAAGATTGATTGATTGATTGATTTATGAGAGAGCATGAGTGGGGAGAGGGGTAGAGGGAGAAGCAGACTCCCCGCTGGGCAGGGACCCCCAATGCAGGACTCGATCCCAGGACCCTGGGATCATGACCTGAGCTCAAGGCAGACGCTTAACCAACTGAGCCACCCAGGCGCCCTGCTTTAGAGTTTTAGATGAAGACTCTGTCATGTGTGTTTCTAGAGCCAGTGCCCGCCCCGGGGGGCAGGGGAGAGGGGCACTTTCACAATTGTGCTTCTGTCTCAACTCTATGCACAGCCTCTGTTTACGTGGTGCTAAACTACTTGCTTGCTTTTGAGGGGGAATGCTTTATACTCAACTCCTCAGTGGCCATCAACATTGGCTCACTCCTTTCAAATGGCTCATCGAAAGGCTCAGTCCTCTCCATGCTTTCAGAGAAAAGGACCTGTGAGTCCTGTGGAGAGTTCACACTGAAGTTGGGCATCTGTCATCTGCTGTCACTTTTGGTCCCCCTTCCTCCTAGGTAGGGAAGAAGGTGCTGGATGCGCCCTCTGCTGGGCAAAGGGTGGAAAGCCCTTATTTTGCCCCTGCCCCTCAGGGACTGCTCAGGTTTTCATTTTCACCTGAGCCATGGAAGATCAGAGGGAGTACTACTTGAAGTTCCTGCCCTCCTCTGTGATGCCCGAAGTCATTCTCATTGTGCCCCCTGTCACTCTCTCCATGCTGGGAGCTCAGAGACTGGAGCAGGCAAGGTGTTCCATGGGCAGCCCCTTCCACCCTGCTTTCCCTAGGTGATGACTCATCAGTCACTCCCAGTCACTTAGCTACTGTTTGGACACAGATGAACACAGCTGAAAGCCAACAAAACCCGTGTGTAAGCTCAGTCCAGGCCACATATCAACCAGCACGTCACTTAACATCTCTGACACTAACTCCTGAGCAGGACTTGAAAAGAGTGTCCAGGCTCCCATCTAAAAAATAAGCCAAGCCTATACAGTTAGGGCAAAGCCAGGCCCTGTTATTTATGGAGGAGAATGGCCTGGCAGCCCTCTGCAGAAGCATGTTCCCTCGGTGCACAGGGACCACACCACCGAGGATGGCAGACAGCTTTGTTCTCTCCTGCTAGCCCCCATCACGGATGTACATTGTGTTGGGAATGACCCTGAGGCTCTACCGAGACTGAGCAAGAAAGCGTGTTGGGACTGAGGAACCATGCCCATCTGGGGCATGGGAGGGGAGAGGCACCAGCCATGCCACGAATGGCAACTCCACAATCCTATTGGGGATCACCCTGGCATTCTGGGGACCGAGCAAATGGAGGTTCTCCTGCTCACGTCTCAGCACTGTCCTTACCCCACAGTGGTGCTAAAACACTTTATGGTGCCCTAGTGAGTGACTTACAGGAGGAGTCTGGCCACAGAGAGACTGTGACAAGGGGAGGATGCCCAAGGGAACATATCACTGAATCCTCTTCATCTGTCGACACTGAGGACCTGAGCCCATGCCCCCCACATTCCTCCCACACATGCTTCTAAGACTGTGTTGCTGGGGCCTGGGTAAAGGTGGAAAGAGCTTATGAAAAAAGAAATCCCTTAAAAAATCATAAAACTGGCTGTTAGCAGCCCACAAGATATTGGCTGGTGTTTGGGTACACCAGTAGCCAGGTCTCAGATGTTGGAGATGCCCGGTCTCTGATAGGCATGACTGTCCCTGGAGTGTTGCCGAAATCTCTGTCTTGGTATACATGATGACTTACCAAATATGCTTGTGAAAGTGGCAAAATATCCCCTTTGCCAGAAGGATTTATTTCCTGCCTTCATTCCTTTCTCTATTTATATCTTGTTTCACAACAAATTTGGAGGGTTTTTTTAATGCTGTATTGGAGACAATAAAATTAAAGAAAAATATAGAGTAAAAAAATAGAACTATAGGAAAAACTAAGATGGTTAGAAAGCAGGAGTTCTCAACCTCTTTTTCCCCCTACACTGACACACTCGATTCTCATCCCAGAGGGAGTAATGAAGTAGGGTGATCATTCTCATATGTACCCCACCCCTCTTTGCAAAGGAGAAGAGTGCTCATAGGTCCTCAATAATTACTAAAACCTGGACTAAATTTTCATCTATGAACTGTACATTTTCCATGGAGGAAAAAAATATGCCCCCTCTGGAGAAACATGGGTTAAGTCTGCAAGCCCATATTGCTGTGCATCCATTCATAGAGGGAACATGGAGGAATTCAGTGGGTGACATCTTCAGCATGCTATACAAATGCCCCTGCAGTCTATGAATTATAATTTATTAGAGCTTCCTTCAATGATGGTGAGGTGGTTATGACAAGGCACATTTCAGAAAAGAAGTTCTGGGCCAAGGCAAATGGTCCATGACTATGGTTCTCTGAGGGTCTGGCTTAACCCAGAGAGGACCTTCAGATTGTCTAGGAAGTGATCAGTTGCATGTCCTTTATGTATTCCCTGTTAGGATCATTTCCTTCATCTAGGCTTTTTGATAGAACATGAGCATGGGACATTCAGAGTCATAATCCAGAGCCCTGATTATGACTTAACACTGATGTTAAGTGGACTGCATATACCTGCAGAATGAAAGCACCCCGCCAAGAGTGACCCAAAAAAGTCAGCCATTCCTCCTTTGCAGGAATGGTATTCTGGAGAAATTAACATGATAACATCTGAACTTTCCAGATGTTTTGAAAAGTCAAAGACCAGATCTATACGACTAGAAGGGATAATTGATTATTCTGAGAAAAGACTGCAGCAAATATGAACTATACATTGAAGTCATTTAATTTTCTTTGCTACCTTGGGCATCATGGTAAAAACCACATTGTCCCTATTCTTTGCCTGAATCCATGGAAATGGTAGTTGAAAGCGGTAAAAATGGAACCATTTCACTGGGGTCAACCACACCCATGGTTCACAAACCTCAGTGAACCATCAGAACTACCCAAGGATTTGTTTAAAATGCAGAACCATGGTCCCCAGAGATTCTGATTCTGTGGGTCAGAGAGCCACACATGTGCCCTCGGGCCACGCAGGAGTCATAGGCTGACCCAGAACTGTTCCATCTTGGGCGTCACCATGAGGGCAGTATGGTGCCACTTCTAGTATTTCATGTTATTTCCATCTGTTTTAGCATGAGAACAGGCAAAGCGGTCAATAACTTTCATTTTTGTATAAATGAATTTTGTGCTTCATTTCGTTGTGGGCATCTTTCATTGTTGATGAAATAAACTTGGAACAATTGTTCCTCAGTGCTTTCCCCGAACACCCTGGGGGAGATAATCCTCACGGCCTGGGGACGCTTCTCTTGTTCTTCCTTCCAGTGAGATGTCCATGGGTACAGATTGTACACAGAAGCCGACACCCATCAGGGACCTGTTCGAGGCAAATTATGCTCCATAAAACTCCTCATCTTTAGGTGGGCAAATGAGTTCATAGTGGATTCTAAAAAAAGGAATTAATAAAAAATCCTTACTGATTCTAGTGGCAATTTCTCTTTTGTTGGGTGTGGAGCTAAGAAGAAAGTGAATCTCTCTTTTATAGAGATGGGATTGCAACAGTCCCCCTTGCAGGTCCGCTGGTATGACAGCAGCCGACCTACATTGGCTATCGTCAGAGACAGCCTTTTGCTATTCCTCGCAGAACTGAAATAGGAGGTGGGTGTTTCTCAAATGCGTCTTCTCTTGTTTTCTCTAGAACGCTTTCTTTGCTAGATCTGTTAGCTTTTAAAGTGTAAAACTTCCTTACTGCATTGTGTGGAAGCACAATTCCAAAGGCAAGGAGAGGGTAGCTTGTACTTTCTGCAGAGCGGGCGTGGCACATTCAGGCTTTGCACACATGGCAGGGTCTAGTAAGGCCCCCAAAGTCTCGTGACTCAAAATGTCTCTCTGTTCTGCCTTCTGTTCACCGCATTGGTGAGAGAGGGGTCCCTCGCCCTAAATAGTAGGAGATGGCTGAACGCCCCACAGTTGACCGTGGGCAGATGTGAATAATGGGAGTTTATTAGCCACATGGGCTCGGGCCCCATGGAGGTTGCACACAGGAACAGAGCGACCAACCAGGGCATGCAGGGGCCGTGCTCTGTAGTAATGAGAGGCCCGGGGAACATCTGGTTCTGGTGGGCGGATGTGATGGGCTTGTTTGAACCATGTCTGGGGTGCGGCCAGTTGCATAGGGGAACTAGCAGGTGGGAGACTTTCCTGTTGGGTGGGGGGCATCTCTGGTCAGAGCAGGGAACTCGTTGTTAGTCCTCTGAGCCTCGATGAGGCTCAAAGATGTCAAGGCAGCTCATGAAATCTGGCGCCTTCCAATACACCTTCCAAGATCAAGCTCTACCTTTATTTGCCTATATTCCCTGGGTTACTTAGTCCTGGATTCAAACCTGGATTTGAAGTTTCTCAGCCAGAAGGGAGATACAGTCAACGATGAGATACACATTGTCCCTGAAGTTAAAAAAAAAAAAAAAAAAAAGCCCCTCCACACCATCAGTACCTAGGTTAGAACACTCACTTCCCAAACAACTCTGCTCCTGGTCGGTAGCTCCGAGCTCCTCCAGCCTTCTGATGATTTTCCCTGCCATTGCAAAAATCTTGCAGTCTGATGGGATTTGTCCAAACCAATTTTTTTACTCTATTTCTTCATTTGAATATTTCTGCTTTAAAATGTCTGTAGCCTGTGCTTTTCAATAGCCAGGGGAAAAAAAAAGGCATTTTGCAATTTACGGTTTATAAGTTTGTTTATAAAGAAGCCAGTGTCCATTCAGCCCCCAGTAAACTGGGAACGTGGGTATAGCCCAGACCCCGCTGGGACGGCCTGTGCCAGCCGGGTGGGCCCACCCCAGCCTACTCTGGTTTTGTGGCTGATGGCTCACACCTGCAGCCTTTCCTGGAGACCCGTCCTTGGTTAGTGGAGCCAGCTTGCCAGGACATGCACCAGAGTGACCCCCTCCCCACCCCCCAACATCCACAGTTACTCATAGCTTAGGATGAGTTGGGGAAGAGGGAGTAGAAGCTCAACCCTCTTGCTTCAGGGCAGGTTAAGCTCTGTGGTGTCACTGAGAGTCCGGAGCTTTCTGCGGGATCAGGCCAGACTTCATGAGAAGCCACGTCCTTCCCCAACTTCTTCCTTTTCCCGGTTCTTCTTCCCTCACTCGCATTCTAGTCTCTCCCAAGACCACTCCATCAGTCCGTCACTTTCCACAAAGCTCCACCTGGGGCTCTAGTCTCCAGGGAACCTGACCTAGAACAGGGCTATTCCTCCACAGCTGGAGACAGGAGAGAAATCAATAGTATAAAGCCCTTTTATTTTCCCAAAATGACTGTTTTACAACTTTTTGTAATTACTATAAAAGTGATACATGCTTATGGATAAGCATTCAGGTAGAGGCAGAGGATATAAAGTAAAATGTAAAAGATTTCACACCCTACCACAACTCCCAGTCCCAGTTCCCCGAAAGGTGACCAGCGCTCATTTTTTAGTATCCTTTCGGAACATGGCTGTATATTTAACCATAAGTTATATCAAATTAGCCATATTATTCTGCAACCTGCTTTTTTCCACTTGCTATATCATGAACTTTCCATTATGGATGCAGAGATCTGCCTTCAAAAATGCCCCATATTCGTAGGATTAATTTAATTCATTTTCATTTAATTAATTAATTCTAGATTCTCACATGATCTTGGACACGCTACTTAATTAATTAATTAATTCATATTCATTTAAATAGGCACATTCTCTGTTACTGGCATGTTTTCTCCATCAATCAAAATGGAAAGACCAGTAATCTGACATTTTATTTTGCCAAATGAACAACTGAGAAAACAGTTGGGGAAAACAGTTGTCATTTCCCACCTTGTGTGTCTGGTGAAATGAGCCCAACTCAACCAAAACACTTGATGAAATTAGTTGCCGAGCCTTTTGGATTAAGGCCATGTGACTCACCTGAGGGAAACTCAGTGGTCCTCAACAATGGATTAAAGCCAGTGAGAGAAAAGAAGTGGAGTCGGTTCTAAATTATGCACATCCACAAACCTCATACCTAAGGAGCAAACTGTAATTTCAATATTGCATATGTGGGGGTATGTGGATAATTAAGGTATATTAAGCAAAGAAGATGGGAGCACAGCAGATAGCACAGAAATTATTAGAAGCATTTTAAGATACAGAACAAAAAATAATAATGCAACACAATGAGATGCCATCTCACACCCATTTGAATGGCCATTCTACAACCGTAACAACAAGAGAAACCAGAAAATAAACAAGTGTCAGTAAGGATGGGAAGAAATTGGAACCCTTGTGCAACGTTGATGGGAATGTAAAATGGTGCTGCTCTTACGGAAAACCTTATGAAGTTTCCTCAAAAAATTAAAAATAGAATTGCCATGGGATCCAGCAACTCCACTTCTGGTTATACACCCAAAAGAACTGAAAGCAGGATCTTGAAAAGATATTTGTACACCAGTGTCCACCAGCATTATTCATAATAGCTAAGAGATGGAAGCAAGGCAAATGTCCATCAACAGATAAGTGGATAAGCAAAATGTGCTGTATTTACTATGGAATATTATTCAACCTTAAGAAGGAAGAAAATTCTGGGGCGACTGGGTGGCTCATTCAGTTAAGCGTCTGCCTTCGGCTCAGGTCATGATCTTGGAGTCCCTGGGTCAAGCCCCACATCAGGCTCCCTGCTCAGTGGGGAGTCTGCTTCTGCCTCCCCTCCCCACCCCTGTTCCTGCTCTCTTACTCACTCTCTCTCTCAAATAAATAAATCTTAAAAAAAAAAAAAGGAAGAAAATTCTGACACACAGTACAACATGGATAAAGCTTGAAGACATTACGCTAAGCGCACGTAATCAGTCATAAAAGGACAAATACTGTATGATTCTACCAATATGAGGTACCCAGGATAGTCAAAGTCACAGGGACAGAAAGTGGAGGGATGGTTGCCAGGGGCTGGGGGGCGGGGAGGAGAGTTAGTGTTTAATGGGGTACCGAGTTGCAGCTTTATAAGATGACAAGGTCCTGGAGATGGATGGTGGTGATGGTATAATGTGAATGTACTTAAAACCACTGAACTGTGCATTTAAAAATGGTTAAGATGATGAATTTTATAGTATGTATATTTTGCCATAATAAAAAAATAAGACATAAATGAAACTGTATTCCTCAGTCCCTCCAGGATGATCGAATGGCCCAGGACCAAACAGCGGACAAGGGCAGGGTCGTTGCATGTGTAGATAAGGGATGCACGCTCACAGGCTCAAAACCCAATCTCACTCTCAGTTACTGTGGGTCTTAGTGCCCACCCCCCGCATACTCCCCCTTGAGTCTCTGAGTGCCTCCTTGGAGGGTTGTGAAATGGAGGGCAGGGGAGGGATGCTGGTAGAGGGAAGCGAGGGGACTATGAATCACCCATTTGAACACAGGAACCAGTCAACCCACCAAAAAGGGGGAGGAGTTTCCAGCTGGATGGAAGTAACTAGAAGAAGAACCTGAGGAGAAGCCACTACGAGAGGTGTTCCATCCGTACAAAAAAAAGGCGTGAAGGCTGTCGGGCTGGAATCCTGGTTGTGCTGCTTTCTAGATTCTCACGTGATCTTGGACACGCTACTGAAATTCTCTATGCCGCAGACTTGTTTGAAGTGAGCTTAGAACAGTGCTGGGCAAATAGCAAGTAGAGTATGAGTATTTGTTAAATAAGAGGAAAGGTTTTTATTTCAGCCTCACTACTATGCTGTGAGGACTGGACAGTTAACACTGCTGTGTAGAGGGGAAACTGAGGCTCAGGGAGGTCACGTGTCTCCTCTGAAGAGGTGTCAGAGCTGAATGTGGGTCTTCTGACTCCCGATCCCAGTCCCTGCCGCTCTGTGTCTGCCCGTCTCTCCCTGCCTCGCCGGGGAGAGGCCCTTCTCCTGAGTGGCAGGGGGACCTAGGTGGTACAGGGAAGTAGGTGAGGGCCAGCTATGACAACCTCCAGGCTCTCATTCGACCCCCCACCCCTGAGCCCCCACTGCCTTTGCATTGGGAACGGAACCGGCTTGCCATGAAACTAGAGCTCTAGAAACAGACACCATGAGAGTTTCAGACCAACATGAGCCCCATTTGCGGGAAATCACCTCCTTCATCAGCTTGGGTACTTGGAGACTGACCGACCCAGGCTTCACGACTGCCCTGTCCTTGGCCCATCTCACCACTACCATCTCTAGTTCTGGGAAGGAGGGCAAGGGAGACAAAGTGGACCTCTGCATGCCTTTTATTTGAATAGCTAATTCATGCACATAGTACAAAACTCAAAGGCTCAAAAGGGTATTCAGTGTAAACCGAGTCTCTCTCCCACCCTGGCTCCCCAGTGCCAAAGCTCTTCCTAGAGATCCCCACTGTGAAAGGAAGGAAACCCTTACATCAAATGGATTTGTTCTTTAGGAAATTGGTTCAGATGGACAGCAGACAGCCCTGGAGTGAACCAGTCTGGAAAAGCTGGTGGGCATCAAGGGACTCGGGGGGCACTCAGAAAGGTACTTCTGAATCGGGTCCGGCTTCCTGCTGAGTGGTTGTGTGAGCCACTGCATCATTGTCTGCCACGTACATCTCCCCTGGGCTGCTTCTCTCCTCCTTTAGTGTCGCCTTGGGTTTCTTATAATCAGACTTTTGTAATTAAGGCTGGGAGCCCCTAACCCCCTTATTGTCATTACAGAAGAGAGCAGTTCTTGAATCCATGCACCAACAGGGTCAGGACCTGTGCATGATCCACGCTGAGGAGTCACAGGGATCAGCATCAGAGATCTTCCCCACCCCCAGCCTCATCCTCCCTTCCCTTCTGTTCCTTTCCCTTCGCCCTCATTTCTCTTCCCCACCCCCAAGGGCACATTAAACACATACAAAGAGCAGTGCCTGGGCTTCCTATGGATTTATGATTTATGGTTATTCATCTTATTATCTAAGTGGTTTTGCCAGGTAAAATATTAAGGCACCACTGCCATTATAACCTTGTCTTCCATGATCTCATTGGCAGCTGGTGTTGCCATGACAACTGGGCTGGAGAAATTGGTACTGAGCTTCGGTGGAAGACGATGCGAACACTGGTGTGTGTGTGTGTGTGTGTGTGTGTGTGTGTGTGTGTGCATGCGCGCACGCGCGCGCGCACAGTCTTCCTATCATGTATATCTGTTGTGGGAGAAGCCATGGATTTCTTAGGCCACACCTTCTGCTTCTCCTTCCAGTTTGGTTTAAATTAGCTTGAAGACTCTAAATCAACTGGAAGGAAGCTTTGGAGGAGGATTTCTTTGTTTGGTTTATTGGGTAGCAAATTGAAAGCTGGGACACATAAGAAATATTTTAGTCTTTCTACCCATGTGAAATGAAGCAGCTACCCCCACTCAGTGTCACTCTTAAAAGCACCTTGGGCTTAACTTATTTAAAATTTGTATGTAATTCTCTTATTAAATATAGAAAGTCAGAGGTAGAAGGGACCCCATACGTCATCTGTTTCCCCCTTTCATTTGGATAAGAAAACTAAGGCCCAGAGAGGCTAAGTGACTTGCTGCATACAGTATGACTCCGGCATGGTCTACGATGACTTCAGCTAAGTGACATACTCCTTTAAGTCTCAATTTGCTCATCTGTAAAATGGGGATAATATCAAGATCCACTTTACTAGGTCACTGTAAGGCTTAAGTGAGATAATCCCAATGCTTGGCACGTATCAAGCTCTCAATAAATTCCATCATTATTACCCCAGGTCACACTGGGAATCAGAAATAGGACAAAAATCCAGCTGAGCTAACTCCTACTTAAACTGGAGCCTTTTCCCATTAATCCCGCCTTGTCCTCTGTTTCTTTTTGTGTATATGTTCCTTGTCAGCCAGGGGAGAGTGGAAGGCCCTTCTGAGCTGGGGGTTGTCTTTTCTTAAAACCTCCCAGGAGGCGTGTATAATGCATACACTAGGTACCCTGTGGATGCTTGTTGATTTGAGGACACACATCACATGCTTTGTGCCCTCATGGACGATCGACCGAATGCACATGGCATGCCTATACTGTAAGGGGAGAAAGAACGGAAGGACAAATTTAAGGAGGGAAGTGAACACTTTTTGATCACTTCGGACGAAACCAGGCATTTGATAAACACAGAAGTGTTTAATCATCCCCATAACCTCACGAGGTGATGAGGTGAGCATGTTCATTCCCATTCTGTGAATAAGAACACTGAGACAGAGTGGCTATGCAGCGTGCCCAGGGAGGTTCACATGCCAGGTTGAGAGCTGGCCTTCCACCCAACCTTTCACTTCAAGGTGCGGCTGATGCCCTCAATAGACTCTGGTCCAAAACAATTTCTCACCCCTCTGCGAGCCAAAAGCTTATTTCCTGAGGTGGTGAGTGGGATGCAGAGTGGACTGACACCTTTTCCATCACTGACACAAAGAAGAGTATACAAAGCACAGTTGTGTAACTCTGGGAATCTAAAATATTCCCCCAGCCAAACCAGACTGGTATTGAAAGTCACACCGGGCTGGGTGGTTTTACAGAAGGCCATGTGTTTAAACCTCCTTTCATCACTCTGTCAGGAATAAGAGCAATGCGGTAGAACCTCACAGTCCTGTTCAGAGGAACACACTGTTCTGGGGAAACTTATTTCCAAAGAGATTCTGAAGTAAAAACCCATCCACTTGGTGGGGGTGGGGGGTAGTGAGCCTCCATCTCACATCCTAGGCAATGAGGCCATGAAACCAGCAGGTCTCTGTACCTCCTAGGTAAGAGTCGCTCCGTCTCTGGGTGAGCTGGGTACAGCAGTACAGAATTTAACTGAGTGCCCCGTCCCTCAATTAGGGATGGAGGTGAGATGTGGACAGGGATGCCTGATGCGCGTACACAACAGGGCTAGATGACTTCACTGGGATCTAGGTCTGCACAGCAACCATGCTTTGCTTACACTGTATGTTTTCTGGAGTTTGGGGGTGGGGTTGGGGGGGGCCGATGGAGATTTGGAGGAGATAAAGGGGCCCTCCCAGCACTGCATGAAGTCGCCGAACTAGGGGCAGAAGTTCGGACTTAGAAGACAGACTTGCCTCTCCGGTGGGCGACCCAGCCCTGCGTCTTGCCAGATGTCGCTGTGTTCACATTACCAATCTGACTCATTGCACCTGCTGGAGAGGGGAGCTGTATCGCTGCTGAGTTACTGGGGACATTACATGCAATAAGCTAATTAGGAACCTGGGAAATGCTAGTTATCACAACACCCCCTATGATAAAGCTCATCAGATGGAGAAATCTTTTTAATATCATTGAGCTTCATCTTTTTAATTCCACACGATTTTCTGGGTGAGCACTTTCTATGAGGTGAGCTGCGGTGCCATCTTTGCATCCCAGTCATACCCAGCAGACAGGTATCCCCTAACACGTACTGACGCCCGCTTTCAACCCCGAGGTGACTAGGTGGCCCTGAGTGCAGCCCGCAGCAGGGCCCGCCCTCCCGCTCCCTGCCCTCTGAGCCTGGGGCTGGAGTCGGCGCTGGGCCAAGCCGTACGGGAGACCCCGCCGCATTCCGCGTGGAGAAGAGCCCCGAAGGCCGCGGCTCTTACATAACTGGAATGACGTAACCGCGGGCAGCTCCCGAGGGCGGGGGCAGCGGGAGGGCGGGCCCCTCCGCGTTCCTGCACTGCAGCGCCGCGAGGCTCGCCAAGGGGCTGCGCGAATACACCAAGTAAGACGGCGCGGGCTGCCGAAGGTGCAGCGCCGGGTGGGCGGGGCCGCTGGCCGTCACGTGGCCCGCCTCGGCGCGGGCGAGCCGGCTTGGCGGGGACGTGCCCGGGACTTCGCGATCTCGCTGGGCCGACGAAGCGACAGTGGCAGCCGCAGGCTTGCAGCCCGCGGGCACACGTACGGGGCGGGCAGGGTGCAGCCCCCGGACGCTCGGGGACCCGCCTGGCGCCCGAGGGGCGGGGCTTTGCCGCGCCTGGGCCGGGACCCACTGACGTCAGGCGGCCCGCGGGCCTCGGAGCCCCTGGGCGTTACCTTGGCGCCCTGCAGGGCGTGCTCGGGTGACTGCGCAGGGCTGCCGTCGGCGTCAGGCAGGGCGAACTCTAAACTGCTGCCGAGGACTCTGGCTTAGAACTTTCCTGGGTGTGCTTTTTTCTCACCAATAAAACGCGGCTTGTGGACTGTGACCTCTGGCGCCAGCTGGAACATTCCGAACGCGGGTTTCGGGGCGGGTGTCCGCCGGGCACCGTGTGAGCTTGTTGAGCGGTGCTTGATGATTTCACTGGCCTGGTGGTCACCCTCGCTGTACCCTAGCCGGTTCTCCACTTCACTGTGATTTTAAGGGGCGGCCAGTTCCCGGGGATGGAGAGATGGTTTTTATCTTAGAATTAATTAGGCTTATGCAGTGGTTCTCAATCCTGTCTGAATAACGGGGCAAGAATTTAAAATACCAGTTTCCGGCCCTGCCCCTAGAGATTCTGATTCAGTTGGTCCGCACTGGGGCCTACACTGACGTTTTGTAGAAATCCTCCAGGTGATTCTCTTGCGGCCTAGTCATCTGAGAGACGACTCCTCCCTGCACGAGCGTTTTTATCAGTTCCTAAGGCAGCCCCGCACATTTCCATCATTCCAAGGGGAGGCAAGCGGCGACTGCTCCCTTCTCTTCACCCCACATCCTTTTGGAAAAAGTGCTTGTTTTTCTCAGGAGGCAGGACTGCAGGTAATAGTGGGAAGTGTAACCGTCAACCCTGCCACCCGCCCCCGGATTTAGGCAAATACGGTGGCAGCCTCTTTTCTTTCAAAGGGGTGCACTCTGGCGGTGGCCACTATTTGCTGGGTCCTTCCATGTTACACCGAGAGCAGCCCCAAGAGCTTGAGTCAGCTTCCTGCCCTGGGAAAGCAGGCTTCTAAAAGTCTCTCCCCAGACTCATTCATGGAGGGGGAGGGGTGCAATCCAGATGGGTTTCCCTGTTGTTGTACATTTAGTGAATTGGAGGGAAAGATAATTCCTTATTTTGATTCCAGTGCGAGAGTCACTGTAGTTTGGGTTTATGCTGTTTTTTCTTGGCACACCATGACTTTTATAAAGCTCCCCTATGTTGATCTATGCAACAGCACCAAGTCATTGTTCCCTAAACTTGCCTGAACCTAAGAATTACCTGGAACAATTAAAAAGAAAACAAAACCTGATTCCTAAGTCCCTCACAGAAGTAGATGGGGCCTAAGCAAATTCCATATTGGGTAAATTGGGGGAAACATGCCTAGGAGCTCGCCCCTTGGTGATTCCTATCTTCAGAGGTTCAGGAAGCACTAAGTACAGTGGTTGCTCAGTTTGGGTCAAAATCATCTGGGGGGCGTGTGACCACAGATTGCTGGGCTGAACTTTGAGCTCGGTAGACCAAGACCACGTTTCTAGCAGGTTCCCAGGTGACGCTAAAGCTGCTTGTCTGGCTCATCCTTTAAGCATCACTGGTGTAGTAGAAGGTGCCCCAGGCTGGGTGTTAAAAGAATGGAAACCCTCCTTTGTCTTTATGACCTACCATTTTGTGACCTTAGGCAAGTCATTCATTTCCTCTCTGCACTGAAAAACAGGGACTGATATCAAGAGTTTGTGAAGATAAAATACTTCCCCAGAAAGTGGATGGGGGATACAAAAAAGCCAAATCTTATTTTTTTAAAGATTTTATTTATTTATTTGAGAGAGAACATGCAAGCGCGCAAGCAAGAGAGCACAAGCGGGGGGAGGGGAGCAGCAGAGGGAGAGAGGGAAGCAGACTCCCCGCTGAGCAGGGAGCCGGATGGGGGACTCGATCCCAAGACCCTGGGATCATGACCTGAGCCAAAGGCAGACGCTTAACCAACTAAGCCACCCAGGGCCCCCCAAACCTTATTGTTAACAACAGACTGACCCAGGACAGGATCCTGCAGTGAAGACACATAGCCAGGGCAAAGGACAGAAGGGTATGACATGCCCTGCAGGCCAGCCTGGCACCGCCCTCTGGCATGGCTCACAGCCGAGAGCTTGAGGAAGAGGTTTAATCCACAGGAGCTGCCCTCGGCAAACCTTAGTGTTTAATAGGATCAACGTGGTCGTCCAGAGGCTCAGGTCTCCTCTAGCTAGGTGTCGGAGAGAAAAGCCTCTGGGCTTCCTGCCCTTGAGGAGGGGATCTTCAGGGCAGTTACTTGCAGGTTCTCTGTGGCCTCCTCTTCCGGCTCTGTTGTGGTTTGGGAAGGTCTCACACGTTCCCCACCAGTACCTGCCCTTGGCTAGGACCCTGTTTATTGACTCCAGGGGCTTAGCCCTTTCTGAGGAGCTGCTTGCTTCTGCAAGAAAATTCTTTCACAGTGATCCTGCCTCCCCGCCCCCCAACATTTGTCTGGGGAAACACAGCTTCATCTTTGGTTATAGTTTAAGATGCTCTCAAAGTCCCTGGTGATTTGGAGGGCCGGGATGGAGGTGGGGGGCAAATGAGGAGCTCAGTTTTGAACACGGGGAGTATTGATGTCATTATTAATAATAGTAATATTAATAGTAACTACTATGTATTGAGCTCTTAATTCATTCCAAGTCTGGTAATAAATGCCTTGCGTACATCTCTTCTGGGCTGCCCAAGAGTCAGCTTTTATCTTCCCTTCTCTGCAGAGAAGTCTCCTCTTCTGGGCTGCAGGGGCCCAGAAAGGTTAAGTCAACACAGGAGATGGCGGAGCTATTAAGAAGCAGAGCTGTGATTTAAACCCAGGCTGTTTGACCCAAAGCCCTTATTATTGATACTCTTTTTAGCTTCAAGTCAGCCTCCCAGGAAGCTTTGGAATAGTCCGCCGTCTTGCCGGCCGCACTGCGCCACCAGCAGCAGAAGCAGCGGGAAGGGTGTTCTCTGAGCTGCCCCAGCATTCCGCGAGTTACCGAGGGGCGGCGGGCACGGGAACATTCTTCCTGGTCTCTCGACTGTGAGACAGGGGCCATGACTGTCCCCGGTCGGTGGCAGTGACTTCCAAACCTAACCTGGGCTCATAAACATTCTTTGGCCTCCTCAGCAGTGTCCGGGCTTGTACTTGGCAGTCGTGCAGGCCCAGGGAGCCCAGCCTTTGGCAGTCTGTGTGGAAACACGGCATGGGGGAGGGTGCTGGGCTTCTCGGAGAACCTTCAGGAGAAAGGGAACCGTTCTCCACTGCAGGGGAGAAACCACTGGGCTCTTTGGGCCTGGGATCCAAGCTCTGAGACCCAGCCTGCCCGTGTGTGGGGACACTCCTGCCCTCAGGGCCTCCTCCAGCTAATCTGCCTCCATTCTGCCTCCACCGCCCTCAGCCGGTTCCATAGCCAGCCAATACCAGGAAAGCAAAGGTGGAAGAGGGAACTCAAAGGGCCGAGAAACGGTTAAAGAACTCAGGGTTACTTTTATCCAGTGTGATCCCTTTGTGCAAATTAGAAAAGGCACCTCCTTCACATGCTTTGCTGCCATCTGCAAGCAGTTGCTCGATGCAGATACAAATGCCCCATCACTGCGATCCGAACGGCGCCCCCTAGAGTTGTGTGGCACACACCCCCTAGCCCCGAAGCAGTCTTTGCTTTCCCTGAGGCCGTACAGAACTCAACAACCTACCTTCCTCCTGCTTCTCTCTGTCCTTGCAAAGTCCCTCCACTGCACCCAGTCCTTCTACAGCTAGGTAGGGATAACGCTCCTGCCCTGCAGTGGGCATGATGCCAATGGTCTCCTAAGCTCCTCTTCTTTTCCCCCCAAAACTGGATAAAGGGAAAATGATCCTTCTATCAGAGGATTTTTTTGGGGGGGAGGGGCACTTCCGGTATCAGAGGCAGTCAGAGAAAGCTGGCATGGATGCCAAATTGTTAAGAGTCTAATAGTTTTGAAAGTTCAGGAAGCTAATGAGAGAGGAAATGTAAAGCCTGAGATGATGGGATTGTTCCTGAGCCCAGGGAGGGAAGCAGGGAGGTGAGGAAGGAGGGAAGGAGCTGTATGATGTGCTGGGGGGAGCAGTAATGCCCACCCCAGAATTAGGCTTTCTCCCTACAGGGCTTTCTGTTCCTGGCTCCTGACAGCCATTCTGTCTATCGGCTTGCTGCTTCCAGGAGTGCCTATGCATCTGCATCTCAGGACTTTGTGCCTGATGCCTTAGAGGTCCAAGTTCCTGGAAGAGCTTTCTTGGTCAGCTGAGGGAACAGTGGCATTGGGAAAAGCAAACTGCTATTGACAGAGCCAAGCGAGGTGAGCAGCCTGCTGTGTGTCCACAGGGCCTCAAGGCCAACCTTTGGCCGCTCCACACTGGGGAGAGTGCCCAATGTCACAGGCAGGTCAGGGAGGGCCCAGCCAGCATGGCCAGGAGTTGACCGTGATCCCATGAGGACAAGCACAGCTGCTGATTCTCAGCTGTGCATTGAGCTTCCAGCTAGAGGTGGATAGAGCAAGTGACCGGAGGAGCCTTTCCTCAACTCTTAATTAATTCACGGGAGAGCTCGGGTCCTGGCCACACATCGTTAAGAGCAGTGAGGGGTTTCAGCCAACCCTGGGCCTCTGAATCACCAGTGGAACTTTAAAAGGGTGTGGATACCCGATCCCCACCTCATGTCTTGTCAGTGAGCATCTGGGGTGGCATGGGGAGGAGGGTGGGAGTCCATTGCAGTTTGGCTGTGGACCCTACTTCAGAACCAGTGACCCCAGAATAACCTGAGAGGGGAGTGCATTGAACTTGCTTCCTCCTTCCTGGTGTTCTCGCGTCCAGCCTCCAGGCTTAGAGCAGCTGGGGATGGCCTCCTATTTCACTTCCCTAATCTTGATTTTGTGAAAGGCTCTCTAGGTGCCCCGTAAATTATTGAATCAGCTGAAGTCTTCCTCTGAGTAAATGCCAGAATTTCCTGCATGAATTCAATGGCTCTGGGTCACCAAATGGCACTGTGGTGGCTAGACAAGTCCACTGTGTCTTTCCAGAGACTCTTCTCCAGAAAAACGGACGTTGCAGTAGAAATTGGAGAAATAGGCTGGGAATGTATCACTTTTCCAGACGCTCAAAGATTTTTTTTTTTCTCTCTCTCTGAAATCAAGTTAGGCATTTTTCTGGGGGAATATTATACCATTTGGAGTTGCAGTTCATTATCTGTCAAGTCAGGGTGAGGAATAAGTGCATCTTAGCAACTGGGAGGTCCTCTGAAGTGTTGTGGCGGGGAGGACAGAGGGGCCGGGTACATGGTTAGCTGAGAGCCTTCCATGAAACAGACCCCATTTAATAAAGCAAGCTATTTTAAGTGAAGAAATCAGGCTCTGTAATGATTACTTTTTAACTGCCACAGCCAAGGCATTCCCCTTTAAATAAACTTTGATTGATGATAGTATGGTCTTTGCTGGAATAGTCTGAGTGCCAGTTATGGATTCAGCCATTCAATAAATATTAATCAAGTCCCTGCTACATGTTAGGCCAGGGTTTCTGAATTTGGGCTGAGCGTTAGACTCACCTGGGAAGCTTTTAAAACATACCCAGACCTGGACCCATCACCTGGAGCTTTTAAAAACACCCCAGGCGATTCTAAAGTGCAGCCCGGTTGAGACCTCTGTGTCAGATGCCATGTGAGATGCTGGGGATGCAGATGTGACCAAGACCGACCCTTCTTATCCTTGATGTGTTCAAACCCCTACAAAAAATCAGGACCTTATCCCGGATGCCGCATCAGTCAGCCCATAGAGGCAGGCGAGCAATCATCCTCACTATTATGCCTGCTGCTCTAATTGTGGCAACCATCCACTTAGATTTTCCAGAGGAGTCTCAGTTTCAGGTATTCTTCCTGTGAGCCTGTACATCTTAATTCATCTGGAAAAGCTGGTCTCCAGAGCCACGGGGATCTCTAGAACTCACAGATGATTTCCTTGAATTCCACCAGGTGGCACAGTTCACCTGGTTTGTCGAGATCAAGACCCAGCTCCAAGTTCCAAAGGTGAGAGCATCAGGGAGAGCGCTAAGCAGGTGAGCTGCCTCTCCTGCTGGTGGTTTCTTTCAACTTGACTTCCATCAGCTGCGAGAGGGCTGAGCTGCTGCCCGCACCCCCTGGCTTGGTAGTGGCCGGCTTGGGGTGCTTCTGCTCTGGAAGCAGCCCAGCCACCCGAGCTTTCTAGTGGCTGGGTTTGACCGCTCATCCCGGTCGGCAGCAGAGACCTTATACTGGACGATGACTCTGCTGGGGTTTCCACCCGGGAAGAAGCTCCGGCCCGTGAGACACATCGAAGGGGACTGCAGCCCGGCACGCCAAGCTGTGTACTGACCCAAAGGCTCTCCAATAAAGAGAGACAACGAGAGACATTTAGGTCTTGATGAGAGCCACCTCTTCACAAGAGCTTTCAGAGCCGGCCCACATTTTGTGCTCTGGCTTTTCTGAGAGAGTCGGAGCCAGGACTGTCCGCTTAATTTGCGGGACAGAGCGCAAAATGAGAATGTAGGACCCTGGTGCAAAAAGTATTAAACATTTCAAGACAGTAAAGGCAGAGCACTGAAACGAGTGTGGGGCCCTTCTGAATGTGGCCCTGTGTACCTGCACAGGTTGGCCCCCATGAACTTGTCCCCGAATGGAAAACCCACTGAAAAGTGAGCTCGGGCAGTGTTCTTAGCTTCCCCGAACCTCCGTTTCCTCATCTGAAAAATGGGGGTGATATTATTCTATTTTTGAACATATGTTTGAGAGTGAACCATATGTCAGGCCGCGTGCTAGGAGCTGCAGGCAGAGATGATAAGACGGAAGAGACCTCTGGGAATGGCCCTCAGTTACCATGGCTCCCTCACTTTCGCTGCAGAACGTCCCCCGAGCCTGCCTTCCAGTCCCACCCGCATCGCCTCCTCCGGCGCGAGCCTGCTTCCCAAGCCGCCCGGGGGCGGGGGCGGGGCAGGCAGCGCCCCGCCCCCTCAGCCTCGGCGCGTGGCCGGGGAGGATGCTCCAGTCTAGAATGGAATATTTTGCATCTGCTCCTGAAGGTGGTTCTTCTTATTTTTCATAACGCTTTCAAAGCAAGTGTCCTTTCTGTTCTCACGGCACGTCTGTGGTCTCCCGCCATCAGATGCCGCACAGAGGCTCCGCGCCAGCAGCAAGCGTGAGGGTCTCTAAATCTTCCTCTACGGTGTGCGTGCCGCCGCGATCTGCGGCTGCAGTTCTTGAGATTGAAAGCTGGCTGTCTGCCTGCTGATAACTTTCAGCTGTGCCTGCCTCAGGACGCAACAAGAATACTAATCTCAGGCCACAGGCAGATGAGGGTTTGCCCGAATTCCAGCCTGCTGTGGTTTGGGCTGCATTTTTTGCAAAGTGGATTTATATGAAGAAAGATGACAGTATGGTTTTGTTTATAATGTTGAGCCGTCGTTGGGAGGGTAGAGCTGAAAAGACGGAGCACACGTTATTTCCTGGAGTGGGGAGAGAGGCAGCCCTCGACCTCCTGCCTTACACAAGGTGGGGTTGGAGCGCACACACGGGAGATTCCTTTTTCTTGTGTGTTTGTTTATGGGTGGCCTCCAGCGCTGAGAGCTCCAAGGGCCCAGGGCTGACAGTGCTGTCTGCTCATCCCGGTGGCGTGGTTTCCCTGACTCGGTGTACCCTCAAGGCTCTGCCAGGGGGATCGGCTGCTCCCTCGCCGCCCCCTTTAGGATGAGGCACCACTCGCAGCTTCATGTGGTCTAGCACATGCAGCCCCCGCACAAACGGTGTAGGAAGGAGCTGGGCTCAGCTTTGTGTCCTGGTTGTGTGCTCACTAGCCTTGTGAGCCTGGGCGGTGTTCTCAGCTTCCCCGAACCCCAGTTTCCTCATCTGAAAAGTAGGGGTAATATTACTCCATATTTGAACACGTGTTTGAGTGTGAGCCATATGTCAGGCGGTGTGCTAGGAGCCAGAGAAAGAGGTGATAGATACAGCCCCTCACAGTCTTGGGAGGGACCAAGTGGTTAACAAGCACCTGCCTGCTCAGCTCTGTAGCACAGTGGGGGCAAATGGGGAGTAGCTGTGCAGACCCCCAAGTATGTGTTTCTCTGGCCTTCATATCAGCCAGCTTCCGGCCGGGTTTGACCACTGAGGAAGAGTGGTAGGTGGTAAGAAGGGAGAAACTGGATATTTGACTTCCCTGGCAACGGCTGGACCTCCGCTGAGGTTCTTCCTTTCTGTGGCGAGCCTGTCTCTGTGGCTCAGGTCCCACCACCTCCTCCACTCGTTCCTCCAGCCCAGGCTGGTGGCTTCCTGCTCCTCCCGATCTTCTGGTTAGGGGCCAGTCACAGTTGGCTTCTTACCATCTTCATCCTTTGGGGACCGATCCCTGCATTCAGCTCCCTTCATTGAAAGAGGTTTCGATTAGAAACTTGACTGGCATAACATGATATGTGCTATGACATGGGGAAGTTCAGGGTATACGTATAGCTCTCAGTCAGTAGGAGAAGTGATTATTAGTGTTCTTAATATTTTTTATACTAATACTATCACCACTCCCAACCTTACATTCTCTGCTTCAAGTTCCCCAGTTCTCTTGAATCAATGCCGAGGGCACTTGGAGGGACAGGTCCTCGCTGCATGGTTGGGTACAGCGGTCCCTTGGGCAGGAGGGCCTGGGTGGGTGTGCAGCAGGCCGGCCGAGTCAGGTGAGTGTGGGCACCAGGGAAGGTGCAAGGTCCTGTGCGAATCACTGACTACTCAAAATTAATATTAACTAGCACCTCATTCCTATGTAGCGATTTCTACTAAGGATGCATTCATGCACTGTTTTCCATTTGCTCATCAGACTCATGCTCTGACACAGGTAGAGGGGTTCCTGTGATGTCCCCTCATGACTCCTGGGCCACAGAGCAGCTAGATGGTGGCTCATCTGCAGAAAGGATCCAGCTGAGTTTTGTTCAATTTCAAAGAGTTAGTATGGCGGTGCTCGTTGGCTCCGAGGGTCAGCCTTGACATGTGTTATGTCAGTGGATTGGGGGTTCTGATGCACATGTGTCTGTTCCTAGCTCCTTCCCCTGGTTACAACAGACTCCTGGCCTTTCCTTCTGGGTGCTTCCTGGCCTCCTGTTTTCTCCCAGAGGGGGACAGATGATTTCCTTCATCTTTTCACAATACTTCATTTCAGCGGGCTCCGTGGTTGATTTATCTAGTACAGTGATTCTCTCTTCCATGCTGCTACCTCCGTCCGATGCTGAGACACCCCAGGTGCCTCCAGGAGACTCAAGTTCAAAGTGGAATTGATTTTCGTTCACTTGAATTTTGTTGTTTTTTTGAACCTGGATTTTGTGTGAGTGTTACTGGGCACTATTGGGTAGGAGAGAATTTTAGGGTGGTTATGGGGAAGAACCCAGAAGAAAGGACTGGGTGTCTACAGGCTCAGTTTGCAGTCATCGGGGTGGGGGTGCTCACCCCCCCACCCGGGAAGGAGTCAGCAGGCAGCCCATGTCTGCTCTGGCTGAGCCAAGGCCTTCACAGCCTTTTCTTAAAGAGCGTAGTCCTGTACACATCATGCTTTTCCTATCCTTTGAAAGTAGAGGAATATTCAGCTGCACCAGACTGGAGCTGAATATGGTATTTAAGATGATGATAAACCTTCTGAGGCAGGAAAATGTAGGATTGTTTCGGTTTTCTCATTTTCTGAGCCTTTGTTTCAGAGTGAGAAAACAATATGTTTTAAATCAGTAGAAAGAAATTCTGACTACAATCTTGGGTTCTGTAACTCTGCTAATGGGGAAGCTGAGGAAAGGAATTGTGGTTCATCAAAGGAATTGTGGCTGTTGCTCAGAACCTGACCTGTAGGATCAGTTCTCAGGTCTCTGCGGCAGCAGGAGTCTCTGCCTTGGGTTAGGGGTAGGTCATAGATGCCCGCTGTGGCCCAGAGGGCATGTCCTTGCCCCACGGCATACTTAGACTATAAGCCTGATTCCAGTGCCAGGGACAGAGAAGGGGCTGAACAGCCAATATACATTAATTTTCTCCATGTATGGCTGTGTGTACCACCCAGAGGCAAGAGGGGGGCATTCAACATGACTCCTCCATCAAGAAATCCTCAATATACTACGGGAGGGAGCTGCATCCAGCAGTGACTATAACACAAGGTGGAAATTGGTAAACATCATAAGCAAGGACTGAGTCACAAAGGAAGTTGTCATCTAGTAATTACGATGTACCCTAGATCTAGTCTTAAGAGCAAAATATTGACAAAAACCCTAAATGATCGGCAGGAGGAAGCTCTACACAGCCATGCTGAAGTATGTTAGGTAACTATAAAAGAAAGAAGGCAGGCTTATAGATAGTTTTAAAAAACCTCTAAAATATATTAAGTGAGAAACAAGGATGCAGAGCAATGTATAGTCTGATCCTATTTGTATGGAAAGGGGGCACATATTTATAATATGTATATCATGCTTAATATACATAATATATATTATGCTTTAAATATATGTATATAACTATTGTATGTGCTTAAAATATTTCCGGATGATTAACAAGAAACTGTTAGCAGTGGTTTACTGCTGAGGAGTGAGACTGCTACTTTCCATTTTGTATCATCCTCCAAACTATTTTATTTTAAAAACACACACATGTATTTTTTAAATTAAAAAATGCTAGTTTATATCTTTTAAAAAAGCTTTACAACTTTTTTTTTCTGGTTTAGAACATCTTTCTGCACATGTGGATTTGTCTGATCCCAAGAAAATCTGGAAATTTATTGAAAATTTCAAACAAGAAAATCAACTCAATGTTCTGGTAAGTTTTATAAACCTAAGTAGAGGATAAATCTCATGTGTGTACATTTTTCATCTATGTAGATATGGACTGATATGTAGATCTGTGGGTCTTTATGACGACATCTTAGTGAGAGTCTTCTCTGGTGAGGCCTGCTCATGCAATCAGGTTTACTCACTGGCCTCAAGGGGAGACCCAGCACGTTGTGGGGAACGGGAGGGGACCACCCACTGGGTAGATACTATGGGAAGAAGATGAGGACATTCCATTTTTCATAAAATGATGATGTGTGTATCTGTATCCCTAAGGTCTGTAGATTCGGGCATGTGTGTATTAAAGTTAGGGGTTCTGGGAAAAATAAAAATAAAAAGTTTGGTCCAAAAGAATGCCTGCTGCAGACAAGCAAACCTTTTAGTAACACAGTGTGGAACTCCACAGAGAGCCGGGAGGACTCAGGTAGGATGGTACGTGTCTGCCCCTCCCAGATGCTCTGCATTGAGCTGAGCTACTTTTCTATCTGAACAGTTTCTGATGTGCTCCAGAATGCCCATTTGGGCCGAGGTCTGGTCTTGCACTGTCCAGTATGACTATGGAGCATTGGAAGTGTAGCTAGTCCTAACTGAAGTGTGCTGTAAGGGTAAAAATGAGTCAATTTCAAAGACTTGGTCTGAAAAAAAAAAAAAAGCAAACCATCTCATTAAGATTTTTATAATGATTGCATGTTGAAATGATACTATTTTGAATATACTGAGTTCAATAAAATATATTATTAACATTTACCTGCTTCTTTTTTTCTTAAGATTTTATTTATTTATTTGACAGAGAGAGACATAGCGAGAGAGGGAGCAGAAGCAGGGGGAGCGGGAGAGGGAGAAGCAGGCTTCCTGCGGAGCAGGGAGTCCGATGTGGGGCTCCATCCCAGGACCCCGGGACCATGCCCTGAGCCTAAGCTAGACACTTAATGACTGAGCCACCCAGGCGCCCCCCCTCCCCTTTTTAAAGATTTTACTTATTTGAGAGAGAGTGAGCAAGCCAGAGAGAGCGAGCGAGCGAGCGAGAACACAAGCAGGGGGAGAGGGATTACCTGCTTCTTTTTATCTTTTTAATGCAGCTACTTTTGAGAAAAATTACATATTTCTATTGGACAGCTCTGGTCTAGGTGCAATCCCAGAGCACATTACTGAGGATTTGGTTGCCCAGACAACCCCTTGTCATCAGAGATCTCTGCACAGTTCTGTGCAGAGCTTTCTGCACAAGTGGCATTTTCCTGGAAGGGGTCTGACGTGAAGGGACAGTTGAGCACAATTATTGTCGTCACTTGGATATGGGACTGGTGGTGGCCATGGAGGTGTGGAGTTTGGAAATGGGTCTTTTGGCCCTGGTTGCCTTTCTTTTGAAATGGAACTGTGGTCTCTAGATCGATAATGCAGTGTATGTGGTCAATAAGACAGAGCTCACTGGAGATGGACTTGAAAAACACTTTGCTACCTGTACCCTGGGAGAGTAAGAGCAGTTTTCTTGCTTGTATTTAGCAAAATAAAGAGAGACCTAGATGATACCATAGAAGCATCAGAAACACATCAGTCAACTTTTTGGGTTCTTGGTCCTTAGCATGATTGTATTTGCATCCTTCACTGCATTAAATTTTCTTCATAAGACACTCTTTAAAAAAAAAAAAAACCCACTCTTTTCATGATTTTTTTTTTTTTATAATATGTGTTAGTGCCAGAAATACTTAGCATTGTTAAAGCATTTTTTTCCCAGGAAGCTCAAGGCTCATTATAGATGTTATTTTGGTGAGGAGCGCTGGTTCATCCCAGGTGGAGTGTGCAAATATAAAACCAGCAGCTAAGGGAGCTTCCAGCCAGGGCTGAGGAAGGTATGACCATGAGACAAGAAGATGGGTTGAAAAGGGCGTTCAGTTAGAACGTAGGACACCTGGATTCTGGTGCCCGTTCTGTAATAACAGGTTCACTCATTTTATGCCAGCCCAGTGGTTCTCAAAGTAGGGCTCCTGGACTAGCAGCATCAGAATTACTGGGGAGGTTGGTAGGGTCCCACCTCCAGATCTACTGAAACCAAACCTCTGGGATGGGCCCAAGAAATCTGTTTTAACAAGCCCTCCAGATGATTCTGACGTCCATTAACATTTACAGAACCAATGTACCAGGCTTTTAACGTCTTTGAATTTTCTCCTTCTTGAACCAAGGAGTCTGGAGTAAATTCTCTTGGTGCCTTTCAGCTTGGAGATGCCATGAATATGAGCTTCTCTCCAGTATCTATACCATTTCCTCACTGTAAGTTAAGCTTTTAATGAGGCATTTTAATTACATCTTGTCCTAAATCACAAGATGGCTGGGTGAGGTTTGTGTGGTTGTTGGGGGTCACTGAGGGCATCCATTAATAGCAACCTTCTCCCCACCCAAGAACTGAACAAACTGAGGAGTGAGACAGTGGAGTAATAGCTGAAAACCAGCGTATCGCTGTTGTTACCGATGAGGCTAGTTGAAGGGTGTGGTGCAGTGTGAGAGCCAAATGGGTTTCCTAATATCGCAGCCAAGAGCTAGACAGACTCACTCACCTTGTTATAGCTGGCCGGCCCAGGACAGACACCACCTCCTCCTCCCAGGAGAGAAGAGCGGGGAGCAGAGCTGAGCATGCCCAGTTTATTGCTCCCAAATATGCTTTTTTTTTTTTTTGAAAGATTTCATTTATTTATTTGAGAGAGAGAGACAGAGATAGTGAGAGAGAACACGAGCAGGGAGGAGAGGGAGAAGCAGACTCCACACTGAGCAGGGAGCCCGATGCGGGACTCGATCCCAGGACCCTGGGATCATGACCTGAGCTGAAGGCAGACGCTTACCCGACTGAGCCACCCAGGCTCCCCAGCTCCCAAATAGACTAAATTAATTATTGATAATGGCTCCACCTCTCCTGGGCTGAGGGAAGAAGGGGCTGAGGGAGGGCAGAATCGTACTCATCACACTCTCTCCATGAGGAAGGAAACAGTGGGAGTGGGGAAGGACCTTTCTCCTCAGTGGTTAGGTTGCTCTTCTTTTCTTTTTTTTTCTCTTTTAACAAATACCTAGAAGCTTGCTATGAAATAGTGCAGGGTTAGTACAAAATATTTTCATCTTTGATTTTGTTCCAAACGTAGTATCTTTGCCCCAAGTGCCAAACCCAAATAGGGGGTCAAGTTGCCTTATAACTTTATAGGATGGCAAAGCCTCCTAGAGCCACACAGCTGGCTTCCACGTGGGTTCTCAGCAGGACCAGCTTCATGGTTTGTGGGGCCCAATGCTAAGCAAACATATGGGGCCCCGTACTCAAAAATCATTTTAAGAATTACAATATAGTTGTAATTGCTCACCCACCCTCCACCCACCCTCCATCCAACAGAGCTCCGCTGGGCACTGACTGCGTGCTGGGCATCAGGAGTGTTGTGCACACGTCATGTGTCATTTAACCTTGGTGACCATCCTGGGGTGGAGGTTTTCTTACCTCTCCATCACAGATGAAGATACTGGGGCTGAGAGACATTGAATCACTTGCCCAAGATCAAGTGGAGGAGCCAGGATTTGAACCCAAGTCCGTCCGCCTCTGGAGTGCATTACCAGGATACAGTTCTGCCACCAGCGGCCTTCCCACCCTGCCGTGTTATAGTGAAATACAGGGTGCTAAGGAGTGCTGGGGGCAGGGCTGGGGCACCATTTGGAGGGCCGGCTGGGACTCTGCCTTATGGAGTCTGTGTCAGGTGTCACACTCTAAGGGGACTGCCTTTTTGATTACACAGCTGGTGCCGTTGTACTTTTGTATGGCTCCGGTCTGCTTCTAAGGACCTTGATATCTCTTCAATTTCATTTCCTATTTGTGTGAGAAACATTGTATTGATCTTCCCAACATCTCTGAGAAGCATAATAATTCTCATGCTCTGATATTTATTCATCCTCTCCAGAGTGGAAGACAGAGTACAATACACAAAACAGCAGGATCATGACAGAGGGGGCAGCTGAACGTGGAGAGGTTAAAATATTGTCATTCTTAAGCAGGTCCAGAGCCAAAGGAACAACCCAGACCTCTGAGTCCTAGGAAATTGCTGGCTGCCTTTTTAATATGAAACATGTTTTCCCGGCCCAATTATGTAATGTGGGATGGGTTGTTTTCTATTTTCCAAGATTCAGTTGGGCCTCTAGAAACATTTCCAATCTGCAGCCAAACACTGGTGGGTTCCCGACACTCTGAGGACAGGAGAACACCAGGATTTGCAGAATCTATAACCAGATCCTAAGGATTTGGAAGCCGGAGGATTGGTTAAATGCAAGATAGGATCAGAGCCCGCACCTGCACGTGGCCCCTTGTGGAGACATCATAGTATATGAATTAGACAAAGTTCGGAAATAATTCCCCTTAACCTGTTGTGGGGCTAGGTGGGGTACGGAGAGATCTTCCTAGTTTACCCTTCAGTGGAACAAAATAAGCTGCTCTGGGTAGATTTGTGAGTAGATGCCCTATGGAGGCGAAGTGATCTCGTGAGACAGATTCTGTTTGGTTGCTGTGTTCACCCCTGTGTTTTGGGTGTTCTCAAACCATAGACGCTTTGCCTGTTAGCATGCAGTGGCATTAAGCGTCCGTCCGGAGGGAAGACAGATGGGAGGGGAGGGGAGGCCGCGCTAAATGCTCTGTTGGCAGCCTGCCACAGCCCGAGCATTAGCAGATTAAACCCACCACGTCTTAGCCTCACTCCCACCCCAGGACACACGACCAGGACACTGAGTCTACCTCCTCCAGGACAGCTGCGTCATCAACTAGTTGACTGTAATAAGCAGGCAGTGGTGCCTTAGCTCTTTGGCAGAGGGTCGGGGAGTTCAGTGTAGGTCATTCTGGAAGGACGCACATCAGTGTACAGTAAGTGTCCTGTTGCTTGACGTTCTGGGATTTGGAGATTTGGAGCTCTCTGCTCACTGGCATCTCCCCACACCCAGGGAAAAGTGCTATTTAAGGCAGGGACTCAAGGGTCAGAAACATCATCATCATCATCATCATCATAAATAGCACACACTGAGTACTTTCAATGTACTAGGGGTTGCACGAAGTATTTTGGGGGGAGGCCCTCATTCAGTCCTCATAACAGCTTTACAGATTTTCCAGACAAGGAAACTGAGAGTCAGAAGTGCTCGGAAACCAGAGTCTGTGACTCACTTTACTGAATGAAGGACAACTAAATTATAGTTGGTGCATTTTTTTTAGTGCAGGGCCGTATCTGTCAGTTATTGCTACATAACAAACAACTCTAATACTCAGAGATATGCGATAACAAGCATGTGTTTTTTGCTGACTCTTCTGCGGGTCTGCTGGGCTAATCTCGGCTGGGTTTAGCAGGGTGTCTCAAAGCAGCAGGTTGGAGCCAGAGTATGTTCCAAATGTCTCACATCTTCCTTGAACCATTAGGCTGACCAGGGTATGTTCCCATGGGGATGGCAGAGGTCCAAGTGTGCAAGTACATTTCAAGCCCCTGCGGGCTTCACATCTGCTAACATCCAATTGGCCAATGCAAGTCACTTCATAGAGCCCCAAACCAGAAGTCAGGGAGCATACTCCTCCCACAGAGGTGGGGAAGAGAGGGTGAATAATGTTGACAATGATCTTCCACAAGCTCTGTTTTATTACATTCTAATTCTTTGGAAATAGGTGATCTGAGCTTGATGTGGTAACAATTTATTAACCGAAATATTTAATGAACAAAACACTTCATTTGTTCAGTAAATGTGCAGAGATCCCCTACTATATGCCAGACACTGTGGTCAGTGATGAAGACTCAGAAATGGAAGGGACTCCTGGTCTAATGGGAGAATTAGACACATAAACGATTTCAGTAAATTCTCTTTTCATCCATGAAGGGATCTAGGGTGCAAAGCCTCAGAGGAAAGCAAAGAACAGTACTTCCAGGGTATGTTTCCTCAGACACTGTGTGTGTTTGGTACCAGGCATTCTTGTCAATAATCTTTACCCTGAGCTTTACCATGCGCCATTTTGCTTCAAAGACTTCCTTCCAGCTCACAAGCCGTCAAGCTTCCCAGAGAGGCACAGAATTTGGGAAATAGTTAAGTACTGTAGAAATGTCAGCTAGTATTGTTTTAACATCCAAACCGCTTAACTTGGAATTGAAGTCCTTTGTTGTCGTACCTCACCTACCTGTCCAAATTTCCTACTTTTTTTCCTACGCGGATCCTTTACCAGTCAGCCCGTTATTTTTGGAATGTGCCACTAACAGTGACGTCTCCATGCTTTTGTCCCTGCTGCTCCTCTGCCTGGAATATCCTCCACTTGGTTAACTTCCACTTCTCCTCCATGACTCAACTGGGCACACCCCCAGCGCGGAGCTTAGTCAGGTGCCCCTCCTCTCAGCGCCCAGAGTACCCTACCCTCCGTGAGCTTGTTGCCTCACGTTAGGAATTACCGGTTGACAGGTTGGTTTCTTGCAGAGCAGGGATCCTCGAGGGCCCATGCTGCCTGGCCACTAGGAGGCGCTCAATCTGTGTTGGCTGAACAGTAATCCAGGTGCTCCACCCCTTTAAGACTCTCCACACCTCCCGTTCCTATTCTGTGAAATGTGGATAATGATACTTTTATAGGCTAGGGGTGAGGATTAAAGAAAGGATTGTAAGTTATTTACCCAAAGGAAATCACTCACATTCACACAAAAACAGGCACGTGAATGCTTAAGCTGCTTTATTTTTATTCATAGTCACCCCAAACTAGAAACAACCCAGATGTCCTTCAGCTGGTGAAGAGATAAACTGTGGTCCTTCCATACCATGGAATGCTATTCGGCAATAAAAAGGAACAAAATATTGATGTAGGCAACAATGTGGATGAATCTTGAATGAACTGACAAAAGTCAAGCCAGACCCGAAAGGATACATACTGGTATGATTCCATTTACATGACATTCTGGGAAAGGCGAATTTATAGGGACTGAGAACAAACACGTCAGTGATTGCAGGGTGCTTGGGGTGGAAGGAGGGATGACTATGAAGGGAATGGGTGACCGTGAGGAAATATTTGGGATGAAGGAACCGTTCTGAATCATGCCATAGTCTAATGCATTTACCCAACCCTGTGCATTTACAAAAACTCAACTGTACACACACAGAGAGATGCAGAGTTTTACTGTGTGTAAAAAAGTATAAACATACAGTTGACCCTAGAACAACATAGGTTCAAACTGCACTGGTCTACTTATACGTGGATGTTTTTCAATAACTACAGTACTATAAATGCACTTTCTCTTCCTTATGATCTTCTTAATAATGTGTTCTTTTTTCTAACTTACTTAATTATTAGAATATAGTAGATAATATATATTTAAATACGTGTTATTCGATTGTTTATATTATTAGTTAAGTCTTCCAGACAATAGTAGGCTATTAGTAGTTAAGTTTTGGGGGGGTCAAAATTATACACAGATTTTTTTTTTTGAAGAATTTACTTATTTATTTTAGAGAGGCAGGGAGAGGGAGAGAGAGAGAGAATCCCAAGCAAACTCTGTACTGAGCACAGAGCCCAATGAGGGGCTTGATCTCACGACCCCGAGGTCATGACCTGAGCCACAATCAAGAGTCAGACACTTAACCGCCTGAGCCACCCAGATGTCCCTATACACAGATTTTTGACTGCATGGGGGGTTGGTGCCCCTGACCCTGTGTTGTTCAAGGGTCAACTGTGTGTGTGTGTGTGTGTGTGTGTGTGTGTGTGTGTATTTTTATATATGAAAGAAAAGCATTGTAACTTTCAGCACAATGTCTGGCATGTAGTAAGTCCATTTCTTAGTGAGAAGCAGATTATTACGGTTGTTTTTTGGTGCCTTTTCTTAGTAATCAGTGAGCTCCTAGAAGGGGAGGACTGTATCTTCTTCAGCTTTCAGTGCAGATAACCCCGCACATGCCTGAGAGTAGCAGGTGTTCAGAAGTATCAGTTGGTGAGGAATAAATGCAGAGGCACCTTTCATGCTGTGCTGTGCAGAGGTGGAGGGGTCACTTCCTGGCCCACCTGCTCCAAGGACCGTGGGGTGCACAATGGCTGGTGAAGGATTAAACAGCAACCTTTCAGTCCAGGAGAGCCTCTTAACCCCAAATTTTATGTTTCCTGAGAGCCCATATGGTTCTGGGCAAAATCGGGAGGGGGACAGTAGTCCCAAAAGATGACCAGCCAGCCCCAGTGCCCACTGGGGTTCCTATTGTTCCTCTGCGCTCATCATTATCCTAGAATTTTCTCTGTACTGCCTTTCCCCTAAGAAGCCACTGAAAAGGAAGGAGAGAGGAGGATGGAGAAGGAGAGGGCCACCACCCAGCTACATCAGAGGTCTCCCTGAGGTTTCCTTTTACCATTTTGGAGTCTGGACTCCAAGGCGCCCAGACTCTCCTGATCTCTTCAGAAAATCAAATGAATGGATGCTAGAGTATTATCTTGGCCCCAGCAAGGCCAGTATGGTCTCAGCATCATTCCACATTCTGGACCATTCTCGGTTCCCTCCCTTATTTCTCCTCTCTCCCTTCCCGCTAAACATCTGTCTCTTTTCTCTCATTCCCTTAGGCCAACACTACTTTCTGGGTCCCAGCTCACAGCTAAGGAAACCAAGGGGTCTGTTCTCATCTTAGCAGGTGCCATCTTAGGACTTGTATGTGGGGGTGAGGTATGGGAGGAGGCATTTATTCAAGATCACCTTTTTTTTTCTGATGAGTATTCACTTAAAAAGTGGGGAAATAAAAATATATGAGAGTAATAAAAAAAACTCCTGTAATTCCATCATTAAGAAATAACCACTGATAACATCTTTGTTGTTAATAGATTTTTGGTCTATTTCCTTTAAGCCTTTTTCTATGCATGTCCCCTACTTCCATCTGGAACCACACTGTATGTATCATTCTGAGTCCTATGTTTTCCCACTTAACATTATATTTTAAATGTTTTCTCACATCATGTAATATCCTTTAAAATGTTACTTCTATTTAGAGTGATTCTATTGGATGAATGTTCCATAATTTATTTAATTAACCCACTGTTGTGGGATATTTAGCTTGTTTCCAACTTCTCACTATTGAAAATCACTCTGTGATAAATGCTTTTGTACATATATTTTGTTTACATCTTTGGTTATTGCCTTAGGATGGGTCCCTAGTTGTGAAATTACAGAGACCTAGTGTGTGAGCATTTTTAAGACTGTGATATATATTAACCAAATTGCTCTCCAGAAAAACTGTAGCAATTTATATTCCCTCCAGCACTGGAAGTGCTTATTTTTTTTACTTCCTATTGTTCTCAAGTGAATGATCTTTGCAAAACTGATGGATGAGATATGACATCCTATTTTCCTTTGCATTTCTTTGGTTGCTAGTGATATTGAAGTTGGTGGTGTTGGTGGTAGTTTATTGGCCATTTGTATTTCTTTTGCTAATTGCCTGTTCATGTCCCTTGCCCATTTTTCTAT